CCAATATATTATTTATTTTTTGTCCAAATCACATATTTTTATTAAGCTTCATATCGTATTTCATGAAAAATTATTATTAAAAATGCTAATAAAACGGGAAAAATATTTTCACCCGTTTTATAAGCTTTTTTGATACTAATTTTTGATATTAAAAATCTTAGGTACAAAGCCAAGTCTTTAAAACAGTATTTAAAAATCAAACAAAAATCAAATAAAATGATATGAGTCTTAAGTAAGTTGTTCTTCTTTTGTTTTTATAATGTTAATTGAGCAATTTTTAAAAATAATAAATATATTTACTTATTATTTTCTTGTTTGCTCAATAAAAATAACATGGTTTATTTTATTATTATTAAGTCAATTCCAGATAAAAACAAGTTGTTATATCTCAATAAAAACCAACAAATAAACATTGTTTAAAAACCTTCTCAAATTTAAGATACATATTATTTAACCTCATTTAAATTGAAAGAAATAAAACTTAAAAACAAAACGAATAAACCTTGATTATCTTAATAGTGTGATGTAAAGTGTGAGAAGGAAACCAGCAAGGGATTTTTATTTCTGATATTGTTAAAATGGTTTTGCACCATTTTTACTTCATTCACATCAAGTACACTAGTTTGTATAGTGTTTAGATGAAGTGAATGCAAAAGATCGGTGAGTTTAAAATATGTACCAACAAGTCAAACATTATTATTTGGAATTTTATGAGTGATAGTAATTATGTTTTAATTACAAACAATGTGTGTGTTTGAAATGTATAAATAGACGTTGTAAAATACATGTTATATTAGAATTATTTGTTGTCTTCATATGATAATTAGAAGTGTTTGGAAAGCGGAGACCAATTTATGTATGCGAAAGACAGGTGTAGTTTTAAGAAAAGTTGAATTGTTTCGCCAATAATGATGTTGTAGGTCCTTGTGAAATAAGCAAAAAAATTATCTATGACACAATAAATAAGTGCAAAAGTAGTATTACAAACTGCTTAATGAACTTTTCGATAAGTTTGTGAGATGTCAACTAACACCCACTTTGGCAATTTACAACAGCAGAGAGTTTGTTCTGAAAGTGAAACAATGGATAATTATGAAACTACAATTTTAAATATGCAAAGTGCAAAGTGGGTATTACTTCTGAGTGATGTGATAAGAACGATGAGGAGTCTGACACAAATGCAGCGAAGTACTTATCGCGCTAATTTGGGTATTTTTTCAAAGTGCAAAAATATTATCACTTGTTTAATGTGATAAAAACTTTATATGTCGATTTTTAAAGTGTTGCTGGATGTACAAATTGCAAAGATAAGTATTGTTAGCAAGGGAAAAATTGCTTCAAGCATGGCAATAAATGCAAAACATGTTTACACAGTGAATGTAAATACATTACATGTAATCTTTAATATTTGGTTATATCATAACATCACTTAATTTCAATGAAAACCTGAAATTGTTTGTAATGTAATATGTTTTAATGTTTACAATGTGAAAGTGTTTATTACTTGAATTGATAGAAGTGCGTTAATTGTGAATTGTGAGTTTTGTATGAATTGTGAAAGGTTGTGCAACTGATTTAGTTTAAGTAAGTTGGAAGTGTGTGTATTACACAGCGTTGGAGTTCTGTAAGAGTGAAGAGAATACTATGCGAATAAATTGAATACCAAAAGTATTATCTTATATTTATAAATTAAGTTGTTTTTAACATCAAAACAACGCGTTTTCAATTACACTTACAATTATCATTATTATTGTAATAATAGTCACATTGTTTGTGATGTATTTATTGTTCAAATTACAAATGATGTTATTTTTTAAAGACAAAGTGTGCGTCTAAAATGAATTTATGGAACATCAACTTTATCTTATTTTTCAAGGAGTTATGTCAAACAAAACTACGCTTATCTTCTCTGTTGACTTTGATACAAATTGTTCACAATCACTTGACAAACCATTCATGACGTACTCTGTGTTGGAAACAACACAAAGTGCTTAATTAAAGAACAACTGAAATACAAAAAAAACAAATGAGATGAACATTGATGTTGGAAAAATATATTGTGAAAAGAATACCGATTAAGGCTTTTTAATGCGTTTTTTTGTTGAATATGGCAGCGGGAAGAGTTTCTATTGAGAAAATGAAAGAAGTTGAAAACAATAAAAAACGTTTCAAGAAAAAAAAATAAAGTAGTTGACTATCAATTAAATTGATATAGAAGTTGTTGGGATTGTTGTATTAAAACTGAAATAACAACTTGTATTTTTCAATGAATATTTGAGTTTTTTAAATACCGTTGTTAATTTCATATTTTGATGACAAGTCGTTTTCATTTTTGAAAATAACCGTTCGACACTCATTGTCATTGGGAAAACGGTCATCATTTTTACAACAAAACTTTGTAACTTTAAAAGTTTTAATTGCTTCAATGTTGTAAAAAATATCTACAAGAGTATGCCCATATGGTAATTGGTCAATGTCTCAAGAGTTTGTTGCAACTCATTTTTACTTTTTATGATATTTTTCTCATTTTTTCAATTTCACTTTCGCTGCAATTTGTTAAATAATTGGTCAATAACACAACTTCCTCTGATAAGTTCTTGTAATTATTAGGTAGTGAAATAGATTTTCCACTTAATATTAGTTCAGGAATGTCATTAATAGCCAGAATACTATCAAAACTATAAGGTGTTGGGTTTTTGTCCCAAACAGTTAAATCGACAGTGTAATTTGAAAAGTCGACAAGACCACAAATCGTGTTCATATTGACTGAGTGTGACACATTATTGTATCTCAAAGTTAGTTCAGTCAAAGTCCGATACAATAATTTCAGAAGTAACGAATGGTCGACTTTGAGTACCTTCTCGAGTTCGGCAAAGTCTTCAAAGTTTGTTTTTTCAACCTTTCTTATCATCATATCAATATAATCAATAAATACGTTAATTCTTCTTGTGTATTCTGGAACAGTTCCTTCTTCTTCTTGAAGGGAACTCGAGAAATAAAATAATATTTTGCAATACTCTGTAGTTACTTTAAATATATTCCTAATTTGTATTTTCTTCATATCAAATTTTGTATAAATTATACCATTCTTTTTAAAATATTCAAGTAAATCATTTTGCACATTTTCATTCAAGATATACTTTGATATGGCTTTGTAATTGGAAGTAATATCTTTCAAATTGTTGTATATATATAACCATCGTGTATAGCAATTAGTCGCAATTCCCGATTTTACAATTTTACTTTGTTTTTCAAAGTCTCTAATTCTTTCTTCTTTACAAAACTATTGACAGAACTATTCTATCATTTTTACTTCTGGTTCAGTGTCGCAACTTTCACCAACTAAATGGAACCTATGGGTAGAACACCACCATCCCTTAATTGATGGATATGGAACCCGTGTTTTCGCTGTCAACAAACCCAACTGTACATTGAATTGTTCAACCACGTCTCTATCAACTCCACACATTGTAGCACAACCATCGGTTGTGATGCAGTGTAATTTATTTAATGGAATTCCAAGCAACAACAATTCATCGAGTAACCATTTCGCAACTGATTCAGAGTTTGTTTTTTTCTCTTCATATTCTTTAAGAATAAGAGGGACGGAATAAAAGTCTCCATTTAATTCATACCTCAAAATAACACAGTAGATTTCTTTGTGCTTTTTGGTGGTCGAGTCAGTTGCGATACAAATGCACCCACAATTTCCCATACAATCCGCAAAATCACCAAAAGAGTAAACGTTTGCTCTTTTAATTTGCCTTCCAACAGACCTTTGACTCAAACTTAGTGATTTTATGTCGTCAAAATATTGTCTCGAAAGCAGGTAAAATTTCAAGTACTGTCCAAATCTTACTGCGTTTATTTGCGATTCAGATAAACCTGCCTCAATAGAAAGTGAATTTATCAAATACTCAACGATTGATCTTTTGATAACATTCATATTTTCCGTTTGTTGTTCACTTTCATTTTCAAATAAATAATCAATCAAAATTTTGTAATTTTCAAAATCAAATTTACCTTTATAGAATGTGTATTCTCGAATATCTTCCAATGCTTTATTTAAATTAACGTTTCCAATTCCAACACTTTTATAATGCACAAAAATTCCACTTTTAAAGTCTTCAACTGATGTGTTCAGTTTATCAGACATTTTCCGTTTGTGTTTAATGACAAAAACGCTGTGTTGTTGTGCGTGTAAATCGTCTTTAGTTTGTGAAGTGTGCACATTTGCTTGTTCTTCGTCATGTTGATCTATTTGAGGAGCATCATTTGAAGGTTCAATACGAGTTATTTGTGTATGTGAATCTTCATGAACAATTAAAACGTTATTTACCATATCAAGTTGATTGTTTTGTGTACTTTCGATTTGCTCAACTTCTCTGACTTCTTCTTCAATCAAAATACCAGAAGTGCAATGACTTGTTGGTCTTCTTTTAATTTGGTGTGTCTAAGGAGGTGTCTTTCTAAATTTATTATAAGAAGAACCATCAAAAAAACCTTCGAATTATTGCAATTTTCGAGTATCTTTTATTTGTGTAAGGATACCCAACTTTGGATGTTGTCGTTAAAATATCACTGGTATAAATTTCTGTCGAGCTTGTGTTCTCCGAATTTACAAATTCTTGAAAAACTGTTTGTTCTTCGGATGAAATGAAACGTATTGTTTTTGGATGTGACTCTAAGTGACTTCCTTTAGAAGATTTTTTAATCCATTTATTGTGAAGAAGACAAAAATACCAATCTTATCTGTTTTGTGTTGTTTGGAAAGAAGTGTGTATAAGACTTCGAGAAAAGGCGTATAGATCATTCAAAAACACAGATTTTGCTCTTCCATTGTAATTTACTTTTTAGATTATATTTTAACCCTTAACAAATAATATGTTTTATTAACATTATGAATATTTTAAATAATAAAACGTTTTAAAAATTAATAATACAATTACAACTTTCATTTACATATAAAATTAACATTGAAATTATCTTTAATGCTAAAAAATAAATGAAATTGCACAATAATAAACAAATATAAAAAACGTTGATTCAATCAATAAGATACCAAAAAAATGTATTTTTTATCATGTTTATAAAGTAAAAACTTGCCTATTGTTATTTATAATCAGATGAAAGCAGTAATAATAATTATAATTATCTAAATTCGAAACTATATTTATTTCTTCAGTTTGAAAAGCAAATCTGCAAATACTTTTCATAATTATAAAAACAAATTTACTTAATCATATTATCATCTATAATATTACAAACTTGGTTGTTTGTTAGCAAAGAAATACATGTATTTTTAATTAATTAATTTTAAAACTTAAATAAACTCAAACAATACTATTATTATTGTTTTACGACGAGTTTAACAGTGAATTGTTTAACATGTAAGTGTTGTGTTATTCGTTTTTAAAATCATAAACACAATTAACTAAACTATTTATTTTGGCTATAATTTAAAGTTGTCATAACTATTAATTTAAAAAGCAACCACTTTTTTCTATACAAACAAAAGACTTATTTGTATTTTGTAATAAATTGTGAAATTGAAGTTTTTTTATTTTTCAAGACTGTATTTCAAGAATAATTATAAATTTGACGCCGTTGCAATATTTTTCAAATGTTTCT